AACACAACCACCATCAACACAACCATCAGCATCACCACCACAGTCATCATCATCATCACAACCACCATCACCACCACAATCACCATCACCACCATCACCACCATCAGCATCACCACCACCATCATCCGCCATCACCATCATCAACATCACAACCACCACCACCATTAACAACTCCCATGCCCATCACCAACACTGGCACCACCATCATCACTTCTACATTACTATCATCACCATTGCCACCACCACCATCACCATTAGCAACATCACAGTCACCATCAAGAGAGCCATCATCATCATCACCATTATCACCATCATCACAACCCTCATCACTGCCACCACCACCATCAGCACAACCACCAGCACCATCACCACCACATTCACCATCACCACCACCATCACTACGGTCCCATTATCATCCTTATCACTGCCGCTACCATCACGAATAAAGAAACCGTGATGTTTATTAAAGCTGGTCTACAACTCTGTGTGCGCAGAGTTACAGGTTCACACATGTACACATGTGTACATCACACCCAGCCACCCCCAAAGTCCCCACAGCCACCCTTCCAGGGTCCACCGAGGGCGAAACTCCCCATTAGGGCTTCCAAGCAGCTGCAGCTTCGTTCTGTTCAGCGTTTTCTGCACAGGCAACTGCGGCTACTTGCCGTAGACAGGAGAAACTGTCAGCACCACTCGGTCTTCCTTGCTGCGCCTGTTCCACTCGTCTTCACATGTACGATTTTTATGCAAAAAACAGAGATGCCACTGAAAAGAAATCGTCAGTTGTGTCTCTCAAAGGCCCCCACGGACCTCGCACCGAGTGGATGGGAGGGGAAGAACGCATCCTCGGTGGGAATGTCGCTGATTCACGCTTGCAGACGCGACCATCACTGGCTCGGAAACGCCGCAGGGACTCGACGCCATGACCGTGAACTGGGCCCCGGGCACGGGCCGACCTTCGTCATGGCTGAAAGAATGAGGGCGGAGGCAGAAACACGCCCGTGGCGGGAAAGCAGCTTTCCTGCCATCTCCTGCTCCTTTTCTGCTCGCGTTGAGAGCGTGATGGACCCCTGGGCGCGTCAACCACTCCAGAACGGGGGGTGGGGAGCCCACCCGCGACGCGGGCTGATTCAGGAGACGCGAATCGTGCCAGTCCGATTCTCCACGTGCGTGAGCAGGCTCAGTCGCCGTGATCGCCGGGTAACACGAGCATCAAGGGTGTGAAACGCTCAGCAGAGGGAGCGGCTCCGAGTGAAGGTCAGTTGGGTCCAGCCCATCACGTGGGTATGGGAACGTCGTTTCCACACCGCTCTGGCGATCCTGAACGAATTAAAGAAGCGAAACAAAGCTCAACCGTCGATGGCCTCCGAGCGTGTTTGGAAGACGCCCCAATGCTCAACATGTCGGGTGCGGTCCTGTGCCGGGTGTGGGCGCGCAAGGGACGTCACAGGCTACTTGTAGTAGTCTACAGCTGGGGGTCCAGAGGGTGGCGGTCTTCGCGGCGCGTCCGAGCGCTGGGATCCGCTCTTACGAAATGTCCGGTAAGTACGGGCGTCATCG